TACCAAGCTTCAACGTTAATCTTCATGGGGTCGTAGCCGTGGTAGAACGAGAAACAAAGCCCCGGATAGAGCTTCCCCTCTCCTTCAACCAGGTAATTGAGGGTGACGCCGATGTCAATCCCACCACGGGCCAGTGCCTGGAATCAACTTTGTGGAATCAAATATTGGAAAAAATACACTTGTAGATTTAGAATATCACGACTTTACAACCAACGTTTTGCTCAGATTTCAACAACAACCAGCGGTCGATGTCATGCTACACGATTCGCCTGTTTTTATAATTCTAGTCAATTAAAATGATTGAGCAATCTTTACTTGCACGTTTATATCCCCAAACATGTACAATATTGCAGATGTTTGGAGAGTAACTGTATTGGCCTCTTTAAAATTTTAATGCATCTGTAAAATGAACAAATATCACTTTTCAAAGTCTTATTCATCATAAACCAGAATAATCATAATCGAAATCTCAATTATTTTATCATTTACACATATACATATACATGTTGCATATACTTACAAGCAAATTAGCTGAGCCTCCACCAGAAATTCGGGCACTTGCTTTCAGAGTCATCGTCAGACAGTGAGAGCAGGGATCATATGACCGATCACAAAAGCTTGCCTTGATACGAAAGTCCACCCTAGGGGCCAAGGTAATGGTAACGGAGATTTTAGCGACATAGATGAAAAAGCTGAAAACGTTGATGGATTTAGGTGACGGTTTGTAAAGTGGGTAGTTTTTATTCACTGAGCCAGATGTGTCTACGTTCACCACAGTCTTCCCGTAGACTTTGAGATAGACCCTTGTTCTAGTTTTGCTAGTTTTATAACGATAGGCTATTGCGGTTGCAAGTGTAAACCGTTTGGAGAAAACTTTGAGTTTGGCAATTGATTTGCCGTACACTTTACAGTATCTTCGTCTTCTATTTCTACCAGCAAAGACACCAGACTTGATGTAGATATTTGCTTTCGATGGGCCGTAACTGATGTGGGATAGACAGTGCTTGTTTTCTGGGTATTTGTTGTTATCGCTTGAGAACTGCGAAGAACTTAACAATTCTGAATACCGTGAGCCGTAGGTACCCCAAGAACTGCAACTTACATGGTTAACTCCTCTTTTAGTGCGCGTGGAATTCACCATCTCATAAGTCTCAATAAGATTACCAAAGGGCACACCTTTAAGTTGAAGATACTCCCTAATATCTGAAAATGCACACTCATATCTTACATCTGCCATATGAAATGCATTGAGAAGGATTCTGTCTACCTCTGTTTGACCTAAATTGGGCCATGCCTTGTTTGTGGTGTCCAGCACCTTTCTGTAAGCAAGTTCGCCTTTGATGGTGACCACAACAGCTTCACGTAATTCACAGCTAGATGTTGGACGAGTCAGCAAATCTACTAGCCATTGCTGAACCGACTCAACGTGGAAGTTTCTTCTCAGAGCGTGGATACAGCCTATCTCTATCTCTTCCACCTGTCCTTCCTTTTTAGCAACTGCCAATACATCCGGCGTTAGTCTGTTGTCTCCAAAGTTACCAATAGCCTCAAGAGCGTCACTGATTTGCTCCGTGTTGTTATTTTTGTCACTTGATTGAAGATGGCGTCGAAGAAGATCCACCAATTCTGACCGGAAACCAGAGCTGGTCGTTTCCTTCGAGGCGAGGGAGCCGAGGGTAAGTATGACGTGACTTTGGGATGGATCGCCTTGAGAGGACAGCGTGTTCCATAGAGTCTTGACTGTGGTTAAGATGTGGTTTGTGGGTTTGGCAATAAAGGACAACTTCTGAACCAGTTCCTGCTTTTGGTCGGCAGAAAGGGGGTGATACTGGACCAAACTGGATAGTGTCTAAAATAAAGACTTGTGACTTTGTGATGTTTTTTAAGGTTAATTTCCGTATAAGATTCCCCAAAAATGGAATTTTGTTACTTTGTTCAATAGGCCCTACTGTAATACAAAATCACGATGGTAGTTTAGGTCCTCTTTTTTCATTACACATTTTAAAGGTAAAAGCAGACCTTTGAAGATGGAAGATAGTTAAAACAAATATAAAAGCAATTCCAAAGTAATAAATTTACAATAATAATTAGTATTCTATGCATTACCTTTTCGGCTTCTTTGCCGCCAGCGGTGATGTAAAGGTCCAAAATTTCTTTGCAAATTTCCCAATTTGTTGAACACCTGGCAACCATCTGAAATGGAGGGATGTATTTGTTAGCCGGTTTTACAATCAGCGCAGTTACATGCAGAATGTCTCTATACCTAACCCATTAATGACTTTTTTAGTTATAAAATACATTCCGCGCTAGTCAAATCATCAATCCTAAAAGCAAATTATCAAAAATATATAAACATGTTTCACAGCTTTTAAACGTTTTCAGAAACAGAAAGGAAAATGATGACACAAAAAATTGCTGACCAGGCTTCATGTTCTGATGGTTCCGCACCCATGACAAGTAGTCTCCTTATTAGACCACTGACGCCAGTTTAAGTAATAATTGAGTCTAAAATTAAAATCCCATCACTGGTGTAAAAATGATCTCTGTTGAGCAGGTTTCTTGATATTGAAGACAATAGTCTGACATTTTTATCAGGTTATAACTATGTATGTCAAGTGATAACTAAACATGCTACATAAAGATTTTAAAATATTACTGAAAGCAAACCTCTTTTGTAGCTTGTATCAGTTGCTTAACCAGGGCCGGTTTGTTGGCGGCTGCAGAGGTTGCGTTGTTGTGTGGCATCCCAAGTTCATTTTCCAGTGACAGAATTTCGTTTACTTCGTGTACTGAAAAAAAAAGCCGGTCAGTATGTGAATGTACATAAGTTTGACAGTGGCGATAAGTGGACTTCGCTCCCCCCTGTCCGATTTTTTTTGTCTGCCTCAAAGAAACACTTACTCTCGATCAGCAAAAGTACATGATAATCAGAATTATTGATATAAGTCTTCTACGGTCATTTTAATTAATTTTATTCAGAAACAATCTCTCCACAAGGATAAATTAACACAATAATACATACGTTTTGACGGATCTGTTGGATCCTTCATAAAGTTCGTCACAGCTTGACCTAGCTTATCCTCCTCATCGAACTTCCTCCTCAGAATAGTCCATCTTTGGTACACACCAGACACTGAAATAGGTAATATAAACTACAGTGCACGGCAATTTGAGACAAAGGATGATACAGGTGTTGTTAAAATATAAGAAATAATATGTCTCTAATAACCTATTAATTAGGAACCAATTCACAAATCCAGTACGTTATTTCTCATGCCCTTTTTGTTAACTATGTATTCTGTGTAATCAAATATATATATAAACTATATATATATATATATAAACTATATATATATATATATATATATTGTTAAAGTGGAGAGGCTATAAAATGTTATTTGTACACATCTTGAGCCTCGGTCACAACAGGCCGTACGGGATCTTACGGCCTGTTAGCGTGCCGCGCAAGTCCTTCTTGCGAAATTTAGAGTTTGAAGACAGCCCGTAAGCATGTACGGAGGATGTTGGACATGTCCAAAAGATTCTACGAATGATCTGCGAACAACTAGCTCGCAAACGTAACTTGCTTCAGTCGCAAGGAGTTTGCAAGAAGTACGCAAGTGAGTCGTGCGTGGTCCAGGACGCACGTCGTAAACAATGAAAGAGCAAGTGGCATTTAAGTGTTGAGTACGACGCACGCCCTCACATCCAACGAACATAGTTGAAAGTACGGCGGAAGTGCGTCGCCCCCACGCCAGGAGTATAAAAGGCGTGTTTACAATGCACGCTCGTGTCTCGACAAAGAACGTCGCTCGTGCCTCGTGTACAACAATTCACAAATTTCGAACTTTGCTAAATTTAGCTTCTAATATGCCTCCAAGGGAAAGAAGCTTAGAGAGCAGAAAAAAGGGAGGAGGAAAAAGAGAGAAGGGCCCTTACGGCCGGTTGTGACAGAGGCTTAAGGTGCTTGCCTACTATCTAATATCTACAGAACGATGTGGTGCTGTTTCTTTTATCATTTTACCTACGTTTACAAACTCCTGGATTCGCCCATGTTAAATCTAAGCTGTTATTGTGAGTATACTCTCATAGATACCGAATGTAACACACAACTGGCGATTTTTAAAATCGATTATTTGTCTTTTGGCGAACTTAACTTTTCATTATATCAAAATATGACGAATAATCTTCATTAGCATTGAATTATCTAATCAACCATTTATTATTTTTTTGATGAGCACATTACTACAAGCTACTACACTTACCCTTGTCATACTGTCCGACCAAAGATCTTTTATGAAATCGAGCGCTGACTGCCGCTTCCATTCTTTGGACGCCTTCAACGGAACGCTTAACGTGCTTACGCAAGGTCAACGTGAAGGTAACGTTAGAGGTCAAATATGCCCCAAGATCTATATTACCCCCTTCTTCAGGGCTGATAGACTCATCCTGGAGGAATAAATACAAGAATGCTATAAAGTATTATAATCAATGTATACTCATTGGCTTTTATAGCCGATATTATTTGTATTCAGTTTTGTATCATTCCGTATATTTATTACAATTTTATACAGTCCGCTAATAAAGCGCACATATCCACCTTGTTATGCATGATAAATATTCAATTTTTCATACAATGTATTAAATTATTGTCCATGATCTCCATTCTACTTGGCGGGCTTTCTTATAATAAACCAATCGGTAATCGATTGTCCCGGAATTCAGATTATCATATAATTGATATGAATGGCTTCAAAAATGGCGGAAGTACCAGTTGATGTAGTAAGCGGATTTTTCTCACTTGTCACTTCACATATAACTTTAAATCAAATATGTCATACTTCGTTATACCTATTGTGCGGCTATCAATCAAAGCATACCTACCTGATCTTCGGGTTTGTCAAACACCTGTACGTGTCCAGCGACACTGGTCAGTATCCCTCCACTAACACGCTGGACTTCATCAGTCTCGATGTCCACTTCATCGGTGTCCAAGTCAGTATTATCCTCCACGTAGATGTCCTTGGAGGAAAAATGCTTCTTAATTTCTATTTCCCCAAACTGCAGCTCTGTTGACCTAGGATGAAAGGATTGATAATAGTAATGTTATGGTTATAATTACAATATGTTATAAACTGAATGACATCAACAACAACACACACACACACACACACACACACACACACACAGAGGAAAAAAAAAATGTGATAAACCGAAATCATATATATGAATTTGAAAGGCTATCGTATTTTACATTTGGTTATTAAAAAAAAGGCTGAAAAGGACATCGTAAAATTAATAATAAAAAATAAATACCTATATTAACTAATAAACATAAGGTAAATAAATTTATAAAGATGTCATAAAATATTAACTTTTTTCTTGACAGTTTCTTTGTTTTTACTTGTTTTTCCTTCATCATGCACATTGTGCACTTAAGACAACTAAATACATGTGATGCACTTACATGTAGCGTGAGTTGTGTTTCCCCATGACGTCCGTCTCTATGACATTTTCTTTGTCACGCACCAAATTCGTTTGAAGTACCGATAAAATGGAGCGCTTAAAATTCATGACATTTGTATTTCCTAAAACAAATTAGGGGAGTTCAGTGCAGGTTTAGATGTATCAGATGTATAAATAAAGATAAACTAACTTGCTTTTAAACTTTTAAACGATGCTTTTAAACGATGTGACATGGTCATCCAATTACTATAAGATTTACAGCGCATGCTATATTTTGGTGAGCATGATATTATGAAGAAAATGTCCATCAGAGAGCAAAGGCACATGCACCCATCCCAATATTTCCGAGAGTACTTTTTAAATTTTAACACAAGTTTTATTTAGGTTGAGGTATGCGACGTATGGAAAATCTAAGAAAAAATTGTCCCCGTTTGCCGTCTTACCTAAATCTTTCTTGGTAAACCGCGCCTCGGCAATAGTTCCGTTCCCCAGTTGAACAAACCAGGTAGGCTGGTCATACAGGTCGTCAGCAGACAGGGGAGCCTCGGACTGGGAAGTCGTCCTATTGAAATGGGCATGAAAATGTATATACAGTACAGTCCCACGCATGCATCGAACTTAATGAAAATAATTGTAATTTACTTATTATTTTGACTATTGTGATACAGCACATCATGTAAAGTAAAATGGTCCTCACCCATTTCCCTTAATAACTTGCACAAACACATTGTGCATAAACATAAGGAAGGACGATGCATTCTTATCAAGGTAGTTTCCAAAGCCATCTGGAAAACAACCAGTGCATCAACATATTTTACTTTCACGTGCTACTGCTTGAAGTGTTTTACAATAACGGTGATCTTTAACAAATGCATGTGATTAGTTAACCTGTGCGTCAGATAATTAGCTATTGATTTATTACCATTGACAAGTATCTTATAAAGTAAATTAGGTAAACGAAAAAAAAAAACATGTACGTGCATCAACTCAGCGGTCGGTTTATCAAACAATGTCACAAAGACTGAGGGGGTGAAAAAAAGAGTTATTGATAAAGAACAAATTAAATAAGAAAAAAAAAATAAATAGAGATAAATGCAGCAAATTATACCAAATACCTCCAATATACTCCACATCTACATCAGCGGAGATGTGGAATATTTCTTCTGCTGGTCCAAACAGTTTGGCCTTGCTTTTATAGTTGTAATGGAGAGTTGTTTCCTGGAAATGCAATAACGTTAGCGTTACTTATTTTTTGCATTTTGGTTTACTTATTACATTTTCCAGGGTTAATAGTTCTATAGAGTCCAGGGGAGGATTGAGGCTGTCTTCTGGGTCTTCCGGAAGACTGTCAGATTTTTAAGTTTACATTGACGGGTATCGATTTTTTTCTGTCGGAAGACGGTCATAAGTGGAGGATAGATCAACAAAGATTAAAAGGAAGACTGTCATTAAATATCTCTAGATCCGCCCCTGGAGTCTAAAGATGATTGAAACCTGTGGTAAAGGGGGCTAAAACGTTATATTATATATACTCACTAAGGTTCAGAAGGTGCATAGACTTGAATGTGGGATCTAGCTGTGTTAGGAATATCTTACTGGTATTGATTCTGAATTATTGATAACATCTACTATTATTGATAAATGAATATATACCAGCGCCGTGTATGAGAGTATAATTGTATTTATATAATACAAGAAATGTTACTTAATGGTTTTGTCATCCCGGTACGTTAAAAGTTGTGCTAGCCAAGTTGTGTTAGCCCAGCTCATCCAAAAAAGACAACTAACATTACAAGAATTAATAAAAATAAATAAATAAACAAACAAACAGACAAATAAATAAATAATAGTGTGCGGTTCACGAGACTATTAGTACTCTTACATGTAAATCAGCCTTAGGCAGTGTGGACGAATCTTTCGACACGTAGTCCTCCTCGCCCTGGCATAAGGTTGACAGCACCAGAGCGACAACAAGGTACAGATAAATAATAATGAACCTCATTTTCTTGATAAACACGTATCTTGGGAAGTTAAAAATGTGGGGTATTAACTGAAAGGGAATGCAACATATATTAGAATATATTGTACGACATTAACACGAAGATAATATAAAACGCACAAAAGTTATTACTTAACATTTGTACTATGATGTTTTGAAATGTTTTGCGAGTCATTAGAGAGCGTCCGTTAAGATGAAGACACATCTTTACGCATGAAATCGTATAAGGACATTTGTTTGCCCTTATCTAATATACATGCAGTGAAACACAAGTACTGATAAGATCTCTAATATTTTAATACATTACGTTTGATAGTGAAATACCTTAATACCTAAGTACCTAAAAGAAAACTTACATTTTGTTTTTTAAACAAATAACCAGGTTCTGAACTACTATTGATTGGGCCCCAAATTTTACATCACTTATTTCAAAGACAAAATATTAAAAAGCTTGCAAAAATTGTGCTGATAATTGTGTATTTTATGGGGTATCATATTTTGTAAATTATTAATGAACAATTTCAATGCTCAGAATTACACCCGATTTTAATAATAATTAAATTAATCATTACTAAAATAATATAATAACAATGGCTCTTTTCACCAACTTAACACGACTTTATTTATACTCTCTTACCTGCATATTTACTCATATTCTTTGCAACTCCCTTTGGGTGATCATAAAAATCTTCCATTCTATTTTGTCAATCACCTATTCAATATTACCTTGCTATGAAATCTCTGGAGCACGTGCCTACGTCTTTTACAATTAAATATTAAACATATTATTTCTATTACCTCATACTCTAAAACTTCCCGAAGTAGAATTCGCATCTGTTTCGCGTCACGGGAGAGTGCTCTTTGATTGTAGAATTAAATAATCAACCGAGGCCATGACCCTGACAGTTTTCATTCTTGGAAAAAATTCACGCGTTGATTTTTAAGGATATTTAACGTGTGCTCCGTAACTTGCTGTATCTTTATTCATTTGTATTTGATTACAGCTAGGTTACAGTGACAAAACAGTGAGGTGTAACCTTTTAACTTTTAACAACGGCAACAGAAGCAACCAACAACAATAAAATAATCATGGTTAAATGCCGATGGAGCAAAGACCTGCGATGTATAACAGAATTGAAATAACTCATATTACTTAAACTACCTAAAAAAACAACGATATTTCATATACCGATAAGAAGCGAATCTCTGTCAATCCGTGTTGCAAGTGGCTGGAACCTTGTATCAGTTCGAGCAATATGATATTTACATTCAAAATACAGAATAAAACATATAATTTGGTTTTCCCTCGTTTAATTTGTAGATAGACCAAACTATGATCTTGATTAAAATTAATCGGATTTAATAAAATATCTAAAATTGTGGTTCCCATCACCGAACAACGACTTTCCACATAAAATACACAATTAACAGCACGATTTAGCAAGCTTTTTTATGTTTTGTCTTTGAAATAAGACATGTAAAAGAAACAAGCAAACAAGCAACCGTTCGGACCACCATTCTTGTGAAAATATTTTTTTAAATATTATAACAGTGATAATAAAGAATAAAAACAAATCAATAAAATACCGCGTTGTCCACTCACCCATCTCAGACGTCTTCTTGCCCCAACGGCTTCAAGAACTAGTGCACTTTGCTATCCATTCGTTTTATACACTTCACAAAGAAATGTATTCACGTAACAGAGCCAACTTTCATTTTAATGACATAATTAGTTTCCTTGTTTACTTCAACTGAAATTCATTTAAATTCAGTACATTAACGCTTTCTTTGAAAATGTTTCCCATGGACAGATTAACCCGCAGAATGAAAGGGCAACCTCCCATATCGAGGCAAAAGGAACGCAGCGGACCATGAATAAAACACAACCAGTTGCATGTTTACACAAAAACAAGCATACAAAACCTGTTTTAAACTTGTGGATGGAGAATATCCAATTTTTTTCTCACTAAAATACCATTTCTTGTTGAGCGCCCAGGTACGAAAAATACAAAATTTCCTCTTGGGAGATTTATTCACATCATCATCAACGTTGGCTAAATGTAATACTTACTAAACAGATGCCTGTATGCGTGGTGCTGAGTTATTTGCAATTTACATAACATTTCATGTTTTTTTTTGCTTCAAAGCGAAGTGTTGTTATTATTTGTTCGTGTATGCGTGATTATTTCTATTCTTATTCGTCATGACAAATTGAATTGAATTTCTTTATGAAATATTTCAAACATAACATAAATAATCAATCGCTGCATGGAAATGTATAAAGGCAAATAATACTAGTACTGCCTTCAACCAAGTTTAATATGAACTTTATAGGTATACATTTTCATAATCACAAGGCCACTACTGGCGTGGTAATAGAATGATAAAATCTATTCAAACAATTTATATTGCGGGGCCAAGAGCAAGTGAAATAATCAGTAATCGATAATAATTCAATAATGCAACCGATATCAAATTTGAGGGTGAAAATAAACAGCTGAATTTACTGTAATTCATCCAAGTTTATTAATGTGTTCTTCGTAAATGTTTTCCCTGTAATAGCTATTTTAGTATTTCTTCTCCCTCATTAGAAAATCAAGTAAATGTAAATTTGTAAATTGATGTTAATCAGTGACCACATGAATGCTTTTCTAGTTTCGTTGTAATATGCAATACCCGCATGGTGATTATTCACCAGTGTTTGAAATTTCAAATTGCTAGCGAGAGAGAGAAATGGGAGGTTTGAAGACTGCAGTCATGTAATGCCGCACTTGCTACATATTTGACACTTTATAATAATATTTCAGTTTCAAATTTATGTCTAGGTAAAACTGTGTCATTTACTTCTACTAAGTATATCTATGTGAATTATGAAAATAGATAAATCAAATGTGTATTCAGGTGTGTCAATAACGGGTAACCGACTGCCTTGCCTGAAGCACTGCTGCATTACACAATGCGTGGCGATTTCTTTGAACTGGTCTGACTATAATCAGAATGGCAGGGTATCTGTTTTCGGGGCGGAGTTCACATTGTACCAAAACTTCATCGATAGTCATCGATAGAAACCTTAACTAGAACAAATGCAATAGTATTTTAGATATAAATAATGCCTTTAATGGTTGTTGTATGACTTATAATCAGCCATGTATATAAATATTTCATTTAATTAGACGATTTCAATTAAATAGTTGGTGCCACAATTTCAGTGAATAGATAATTAAAAGTTATTAAAACAATATTTAAGCCATCGATTTCATTTATACGCTGGAGCAGTACGAAAAGATCAAAGAAAATGATAAAGAAAAATATATCATATTGAATTTCAAGTCTGTTGTACTAATGAGAAAATAAGTTTCTGGCACTGTTACGAAAGTCGCAAGACCACGTGCAACAATTAGCATTTTATTATATGAAATCAAGAAGGAAGTAGACCAAGTGACTTGATTCGTTAAATAC